AAAAGGTAAGTAATTGTTAACTTATACGCTAATTTTTTCTTCAATTATTTGGCATTTGTTAATGGAAAATATATCTGAAAAATTTCTTTTTCGTCAAATAGATGAATAAAAATATATGCTGATCTAAATAGAGATCTAGAACTATCCCATCCTAAGTAAATAAATATAACTCCAAAATTATTATTTCTTTTATTAATTTATTAAAGCAAATAAACAATACTAATTATAAAATAAAAATTTCATTAAAATTAACTATAATTAAATTATCAAATTTAACCAACTTTTAAGGTACATGCACGCCTGGATTGATTCTTTTCCTAAATTATAACGTTTTTTTGCCAACAGGTCAGCTTCACTAGAAAATACTCGCTCAACAGGCACACTGGTTTCTATTATTGAAACTATATGTTAGTTTTATCAATAAAGGAAAAATATTAAATAAAATTTATATGTTTTATTATTATATTTACCTGAAATTGCTAAAAAATCCTGAGCCATAGTTGCCAGATGTGGATAAGTAACTTTGTGTACCTGTAATACACATAGTTATATTAGTTAAACTATATATCATAAAAAAAATTGCTATACGCTATAAATTTACTTACTTTCCATCATTATAGTGGATTAGTTTTAAAATTAACCACAGGTTTTCGAAGATATTCCTCTAGTTCATCTTCATCAAAAGAATCATTACCTATTTCAAACAAGCCAAAAAAATTGCTTTTATTTTGATCTTGAGCTGGATTATTAGCAACTAAAGAATTGCCTCAGTAATACTTATTGTACGTATCACTAACAATTTTTAATACATCATCAATAAACTCTCATTCCCATTGTTGTTGCCGATACTACTTTAATTTTATTCGAGGATCAAGAACTAAAAATAATATAATAAATATATTATTAGAGATTAAATAAATTTTAACGAAAAAAAATTTAAATTAAATATTTAATATTTGTTACAATCGGATAGACAATTGATTAATCTGTTTTAGAATAATAAGTCTTAAGCTTTTCGTACTCTTTTGCTACAGCAGTTCTTACTTTAGGAATTATACAATACTCTCTATTTTCACTATCAAGGAGTTTTTTTAAATGATCTAACAAAACGTTGTATATAGGAATTGAAGAAGAAAGTGTAACACTTTGTAATTTTGACATTTCTTCAGTTGCTCTATGAAAAATCTAATTATATATAGAATTATACTTAGAAATGATTTGAGTTTGAATTTGAAATGCAATAAAATTTAACAAAAAAAGTCTTCACCTCAAATACACGATATAATTCTTTTATGTGATTCCATTCTTCTGTTAAAATTAAAAAAATTTTTAATTCCTGTTTGATCATTGTTATATCATTAAGGGGCTAAATATAATTACAAATATAATGAATAATTTTTATAATTTATTTCTAAATTTTTAATAAATATTACCTTCTGAAGTTCAAGTGCACGTTTTAGCATCAAATACGTAGAGTTCCACCTCGTCTTAACATCTAAAATAAGGTTTAGATTTTTAACGTCTTGATAAAGATCACACTGACTGGAAAATCTTGCTTTGCGTTGTGGAGAGGCTCGGATCTTTACAATGAGTCTTCTCAGCTAAAATATTATTAATATTTTGAGTTTATTGTAAATACATATAACATATTTTTAATAAATAATATAATCATATTTTATGAGTTTACCTTGGGTATCATTTCGCATAAATGGGCATTTTTCTCTTCAAGTTCTTCTAAAATCAAATTTTCATCCTTTGCATCTTCAGCT